CCGGGCGGTCAGTCCCGGATAAAGGATTAAGTCAATGCAACGTAAGGTCTGTGGTTTTTGTGGAGAGTCCACGTAGGACATGTAGTATGCGTCAGTCCATTCTGTCTGACGTCCTGTCCGCCATGGCCTGTCTCATGGAACGGACAAAGACTCAACAGCCGTCCTGTCTCACAGATCAGTGGATCGTCGGTCTATGAACCCTAGACCCTAAACCCTGGACCGACTTGCACTTCTGACAGTTTGGTGCTGGGTGTGGGCTACAGTAGCCGATGGAGTGCGTGTCGAGGAGGATAGCAGGCTCATTTGTTCCGGTGTATGGGCCGCATCTCACCGAGACACGCATTAAACCACAGACACAGATTCATGCACACACATGAGACCTGCGATGGCACGGTCAGTCACCATGAGTCAAAGTGTTTGCTGGACTGCACATTTTCCCGCCCTGTCTGTCTATTCCCGGGCAGCCCAGCCTCCTCCGGCAATGCGAGGGCCGCAGAAGCACCAAACATGAGCAGAGTACACGCGCCAAGCGGGAGGGAAGGACCAGCATGGCAAACCTATCCAACGGCCGCGTGTGCATGCACCGTTCTCTTGCTCCTCAGGAAGGACAAGGCTTTCTTCTCTGATGTTTCAGGCGCCGCGAGGCTCGCCACCGGCAAGAGGGGCCCGTCATCAGCCTTGTTGTTGGTCACGCCAGCCGTGATCGATGCTTGTGTGGAGTTCTGTCGCTGGGTGGCTGGCTGGGACGAGAGGGTGTGGTTGTTTGCATGGCTGGCGAGTGCTGCGGGCTGCTGTGCAGGAGGGGGAGGTGTGTACACCGGGGTCTGGGCCTTGGCCACCTCCATCTGACGGTAAGACACGCACAAGGAGGTGAGACACGTTGTGGATGTGGTTGTGTTGTTTCTTACACTATCGAATGCCTCCTTGAGCGTGGTGAGCGCTGAGCCGAGGGCGGCGATTTCGTCCGAGCGGGCCTTCTTGCGGTCCTCGTAAGTTGACTCACCCTCACCTGATGACTCAGCAATCGCATACACCACCACGATCTCATGATGCAGCCATTATCTTCTTTGCGCTTGTTTGCTCACCACATGGATGGTCGAGGTCTGCAAGGTACTTCTGAACCGCGTGCAGCTCCTTGCCCAGCTGTTTCGTCCTTTTCTGATGGATGTATGCAGAGAGGGGCTTTGCTGGGTGTCTGTCGGTGTGTCCCCCGTGTATACCCACCCACCTGGAGTGCTTCGATGGACGCCTTGAGCTCATCCACCTTGTTGCTCTTCTGCTTGACGTCGCTCTCCATGGTCGCTTTCTGGCTGGAGGCCTCGTCCATATACTGACGACATACGGATGGGAATGCAGCGCAGCAAAGGACGAATACATTTTTTGCTGGCTGACCGTTTTGTACGATCGGGAGTCCTGTTGTTCGGCAGCCCGCGTGTCGGCCTCCATCTCGCTGTATTCCGTCAGAATGTTCATCAAGAGACTGCACAGCGGGAGACATGACACGTGAGAAGAGGGGGAGAAAGATGGAATTAGGTATCTTCTCACTTGAGCACTTCTCCCGCGTCAGGCACCGCCAGGTCGAGCAGCACCGGTGAGGACGTGTCGGGCGACGGCTGTGCGTTGAATGCGGTCACTTTGGTGTTGTAGCTTCGGATGACCTGCAAGGCTTGCTGCACCGCTCCCTGCGCCTCCTCAGCATCTACAACACATTTGTCACATGGGGGAGAAAGGGCGCAAGATGATTGCAATCCGTGTGTGTCATGGATGGATGGATGGATGGATGGACCTTTGATGGATGCTTCGTTTTCTGCCTTGTTTTCCTGCCGCAGGCTGGTCTCCTCGGCCATCTGGCTGGTCAGCTCGGCGATCTGCCGCTCCAACTCACTCATGTCGGCCGTCAGCGACTGATCACCAGAAACAAACACACACAGCGGTGGGCGAATGCGTGAACATGTGCGTGTGTATGCATGTCAGGGCACTCACCGTCACGTCGGCTTGGTGCTGCGTCAGCTTCATGGTGAGTTCCATGTGCTTGGCAGTCTTGGACTCGTTGCGCATGGTGTTCTCCTGCATCTCGCGGTCGCACCAGTTCTGACACACAGACACGAATAGACAGGAAGAGACGCGTGAGCAGGTATCATCCACTTAATCTTAATTATTCATGTTGTGTGTGTTGGAGACTACGTGCCTTGTGTTGATCTTCAGCCGTCTGGTCGGCCTTGAGCTTGAAGATGAGTTTTTGAATTTGCTCCTTGATGGTCTTGAACGGACCTGAGACGCACACGTGCGCAGAGGGAACGACCCGATCTCATTCCTGCGCGATGGCCCTCGTGTTGTTCTACGGCCCGCGCACTCTTGTCACAGTATCGGCAGACGCCCTCTGGCTTATCGGCGATCGTCTGGAGGCTCTTCAGCATCTGAAAGGGATGGTCAGAACAAAGACAGAGACATATCATCCGTCAGCGAGACAGGTTCGTGTGTCTCACGCACATCGGTGTATTCGGTGGATCTGAATTTGCCGCTGCTCCTGAGGAAGGTGGATGCCTTCCTCAGCGCGGCCTGCATCGTGTCAGACGGATCCACACACGTGACGACCTGCAAAAACAAAAACACGGATGGATTGGAGTGTGCGTCGGGGTGCTGTGTATGTCAGTCGTGTCGTATTGCCTTTGCCGCCTGTATGAACGACTCTCCTCCCCCTACGAGTCCCCTCTCGGCCATACGTGCCTTGTTGGCCTCTTTGTAGCGGTGCCCTGCCACCTGCACAAACAGATAGACAGGCTGGTCAGATGAGAGGGCACAGAGGGGGCATGGGGGAAATGCCGCCGCCCACCTTCATGAGTATCTCGATTGCCTTGTCCATCGTCTCAAGCCCCTCATCAATGAGCTGCAGCTTCTGCTCGTGCTCCGTCTTCTGCTGCGCACACGTGTCCTCTGTCGTCTTGAGAAGATTCTCGGCTGCACGCAAATTGGTGCGCTGATTTGCTTGGCCATTCATTGGAGCGTGTGTGCAGGCACATACCCTCTTCCAGGAGTGTCTTGACGGACGCGAGATCTGTGTTGGCTGTGGTCAGTGCCTGTATTTTCTCGTCCCTCTCGCCACCCTTCGCGTCAATCGTCGCCTGCAACAAATCGACAGACATTCACTGCATCCCCACTTCCCGGCCGACAGCTATGGCCATACCTGAGTGTCATCAATGAAGTTCTGCAGGTCTTGTGCGGTGATTGCGTACGTCTGCTGCGCGTTCATCTCGGCAATCTCAGCGGTGCGCATATCCTCCAGGAATTTGTCCCTCAGCGTCTGGAGCACCTCGATGACCGACCCCGACTTGAAGTCGTATGCCTTGGCCTGGGGGATGGGGGGGGGGGGGGGG